TTCTTTCATTGTGCATAATTTTCAAATATAACCTAGAATATATTTTTAATTTCAGATTTGTTAAATTTAGCTAAAAGTAATTAGGAAGAAGTGATAACAAACCTAGATAGAACAGGTAACTAAGTGAAGTTGTTGGAATCTTTTTCTTTTCTCTGTGCCCTTTGACAGTTTTTCTTCAGCCTTCCTAAGACCATCTTATATTACCATCTCCCCATTTTTTATATAGTGTCTAATTTCTTCAGATTACCTTGCTGTTAATCTATTAGATCTTGATGAATTTTTAATTGTTATTGAATGTTGATGATCTAACTTATTGCTTCTCCTTGTCAATTTACATATGACCCATGGATACCTTGCCTTAATTAAAAGAATGGTGAGAGGATTTTATGCAGAGGGCAAATTGTTTGGGAGATACTTTATCCAACAACTTCTAGATCACAGGTGCATAGGAGAACTAAGGATACATAGTCTCCACTCCAAATTTTGATTTTTTTCTCCTTGAATAACCACCATAAGACTGTAGGGCAGATAGCCCACAGCTGGAATCTCTCTTTACTCAAAACAAATGTAGTACTTTTTGGCAGTGTTATTCGTGGGGAATGAAATGTTCATTATTATGATGAACATCATTATGTTACATCGTTATTAGAATGATGTAACTCCGTGCCTTTGCAAAAGGTAGACATGAGCATAGTGCCGTGTTAAACTCCATTATTGATGTTTTCTAGAGTGGTTTGAGGAAGCCTAAGTTTCATTCTCTGTTTTTACCCCTATGGCAGACATTTTTAAGAGTTAGTCCGGAATTATGGAAAAAATTCTTAACTAGGAACTGTAACAGAGCAAAGTAACTTCAAGTTGTATGATTATTTGGCAGCATATTCGCTAATACTTATGTTTGGCTTTCCTTAGGTTAAGACTACCTCCGTGGCTAAAGACAGAGATTCCCATGGGAAAAAATTACAATAAACTGAAAAATACTTTGCGAAATTTAAATCTCCATACAGTAAGTTGTCAAAGTGTTAACGATCCCTCTTAACCAAAAGCCATAATGTTTCTATATATATGCAACTTTAAAATTATTAATAGCATATAAATAAGAGTAAGGAAAGCGAATAAAGATGTTAAGTGAAGCTGAGCTCAGTAGCTCAAGCCTGTAAGTCTAGCATATTGGGAGGCCAAGGTAGGAGGATCGCCTGAGGCCAGGAGTTTGAGACCAGCCTGGGCAACATACCAAGACCCTGTCTCTACAAAAAAAAAACTAGAAACATTAGTCGGGTGTGTGGTAATGCACTTCTGTAGTCCCAGCTACTTGGGAGGGTGAGGCAGGAGGATCACTTGAGCCCAGAGTTTGAGGTTGTAGTGAGCTATGATCACACCACTGCACTCTAGCCCTGGGCACCAGGCAACAGAGCAAGACCCTCAAGATCCTCGCTATCTCCGAAAAAAAAAAAAAAAAGATGTTAAGTGAAACATTACTACCAGTAATGGAAATATATTTAAAATAACTTTTCCTGCAAAAGAAACAAAATGATTTTT